TTTTGATTCTAAAATTTAGGGAGGGTTGCACACATGATTACTGGTAATGAAAACCAAAAGAATCTGGACGTTCGAGTCCTTCGCTTCTTTCTTTTTTCCAAGCACCTATCAGTTACCTTGCCTATTGTCGTGATTAGTGGGATGTTCTCATTTAAAGATGCCCAAGAATTTAGTACGGCAATCATTAAATTAATTTCAACAAAGATCATTTGTTGTATTTATTTGTTTTTAAAGTCATAGTGTCATAAGCGCGCATCAAAATGAATAATGGCGACTTTTCATGCACTGATAAAATTGTCTCTTTCGAGATCTGATTTTTTTTCAAATCACAAGATTGAATTCTGTCTTGGATGCGAAAGCTTTGCTATGTGGTATCAAAATCTTTGCTCATCTCTTGTTTAAAATGCATCCACGGAAATAACCGATCATATTCTTTATGTTTATAAGGCATCAATATTATGTACTCGTGAATAATTGTTTCACCGTCATGCTTTTCGCCGTGATTGCACACACGTGTAAACAACATAAACAGTCCTTGCGCTAGTACATTATAATCGAAGTGCCAAACAAAAACAAACCACTCGGTCAGCTGACGAGAGATAATCAGAGATAGATTAATTGGTAATAAATATATTTTTAGACTAGAGGAATTGCAAGATGGATGAGAGAATTGTGATGAACTTTGTCGTAAAGAAAGTATGTGAAGGCGGGGGAATTTAAGGCCGAAATGGAAAAGATAATGTCGTGGTGGTCAGATTTTGATGTTATCAATTGATTTATGCGCACAGGAAGTTTTAATTGTTTGATGTTCAATCAAACAAACACAAGGATAACAAAAGCCAAGATTCAATTAAAAACCAGTTTTGTCAGACGACCCCTCCTTGCACACATTTCTCGACGGGATCGTAAGTTTCATCAGAGCAATGAATTCTTGAACAGAAATTGCTTCATGAACAAATATGTATTTTCCGTCACATTTGCGTTCATTTATGAAACCACATGCAAACGTGCATTAAAATTATCACCGCCTTCATTTGGAAAGTATATGTCATTTAAGTCTTTATGCCGAACGACACTTGTGCACACATTTTCTCTTGACTGTGGACCCGATGGCACCAATTAATCCCTAAATTCCGTATCGATGATGCAAATAATCAGACCTCCACCATCCAAGGCATACGGTCAATTTATCTCCGGGATTGTTTAACCCAAGGCATTATTCACAAGTAAGTGAATGCTTAAAATTATTCCGGTATGATAAACTCCGTGACGGACAAGACCGGAGCGTGATAAATAGCGTAACTATACAGCGTGTGGCTCATTATAATGTCAAATAAAATTATTTTCCGTATAAAAAAGATGGCTTAGAAAAAAAAAATTTCCAAGATTTACAGTATCCATGGAAGGCAATAGTCCAAAGTCATCATGGTTACACTGAGATACAGAATAGCACAAAGAAAAACATAGAAATGTTACACTCATAAAATTGTGCTCCTGAGATAAAAATAACTCGTGTGTTTATAAAAGAGAGAAAACCACCTTCTAGATTAATTCTAAACTTTAATGTCATGGAACAGAGTTCTTCTAACCCTACAAAAACTATTGACATGTCAGCGTCCACAGAAGACACACGAGATCCACCACCAAAACAAATGTTACCCATTAAGCCGCCATTTCCACCAACGATTAGTGTCGATGATTTGGTTACTTCTAGACCGAATGGAGACAAACCTTCAAAGGCGTCAAATGCTTTTATGATATATCGTAAAGCATACGTTAAGGAACTACATTCAAGAGGAATCAACCTTCAAATGACACAAATTTCTCCCATAGTCTCAGAATCGTGGAAAAAGGAATCGGAAAGTGTCAAGGAGGAATATAAACGTCTCGCCGAAGCCGCAAAAAAAAGATATAAAGAGATATGGCCGGCAAAACAGAAACGTCGACATAGAAAGAAGCAACTACCACCCATACCACCGTCCCTATTTTTAGAAGATGCCTCGAAATTATATTCCTCGCAACCACAATTTTCCTCTGGAAGCACTTGGGAAGTTCCCTCCTCTTCCTGGCAACCATCATCCAATCTATCATATGTCAACTTAAGCAATAGCATACAAAGTAACAATTCCGCATATACTTCGACGTCTTCTAATAACAACAACAACAACGAAAACAACAATAACAACAATAATAATAATCCCTTTGAAATTTACTGCACTGGAAATGATATGATATCCAGAGATAACAATAATGTTCCATTGATAAATTTTTCATTAAACGAACGCTCCGGGATTCATCGTGGAAGTATAAGTATGCCTGCAGGACAAGCTGATCGAAAGGTTTGGATATTAGCATATCATCAACTGATGACCGGTTGGCACAACGAACTCAAACGCCATAACTCTCATCCTTACCGCACTTTCAATGATGCCATGAGCGTTTCCTTTTTCAATCTCCACTTGGTGTAAATTTAATTTCTCGAAGCCTCCCTTTCTTTCATCCTTCATCCATCTTTCTTTCATTCACTTTCTTTAGATTCTGGGAAAGAGAGAGAGAGAGAGAGAGAGAGAGAAAGAAAGAAAGAAAGAAAGAAAGAAAGAAAGAAAGAAATTATATATATATATATATAGTATATACGTAAATATGTCTTTGATACGCAATAAAATTCAATACACTTCTTTTTTTTTTTTTGACTATAGATACGTATTCACAAAAAATGTGTGTATGCTAAAAATAGAATTTCCTTTTTTATTAAAAAAAAAATTTTTTTTTTTCGCAAAGGAAAGTTCTGTTTGGAATTTATTATATATTATTACTATGCTATTATTATTATTATAATATATATTTTACTATATATATTTATATCCGTGAAATTATCGGGATACTTTTATATACGCAACTGTTCGATATTAAGGAAAAAAAAAGTTGTCTAATTTTTAAAATCTAATTCATGCTGCTCAGAACAATGGTCTCCCTTTTTAGAGAGTTGTCCGAAAGGATTAAATTGAGATGGATTCACGCGCAACACAGTATGTGGCGGCCACTCGATATAATAATAAGGTGCTGTTTTACATATGATTCCCAAGGGATCATAATATGATAGGGATTTTGACGCAATCTTTGTTAAACAAGAGGATCAGGCCCTTGGTGGGATTTTCGCTTAAAAGGGAATTACCAATAAAAAGCGGCATTCCCAATAAAATCAAAGGTTTTGAACTAGAAAAGGCGTAGGATTATTTAAACTTATACAAACAAACAATAGGACGCGAACAAAAGTACCAATGAACGTGTACTTGACATATTAGATTGGTTCGAATGACTACAGTGACAAACAATATGCATCCTTACCTGAGGACAAGGATCAATACCAGAATAGTATGAACATTTATTTAAACCTTTTTAATGATTGTCAATTTGAATCTGAAAATGCCGTCAGAAAAATCTTGAAACCAAGTTCATTATTGCTCCGCATAAAATCGCCTTGTACAATATGCATATCAAATAATTTGCAAGTCGACCTTGATGCCTTGGTAATTCAATTTTTTAAATAAAAATTTACGCCACTCTATATACAGTAAATTATTGAGTTCGATACGGAAATGATTCAAATGGGAAAGTTGCTCTAAGCCATTTTCGTCAAGATTGATTCTCTGTATGACTTTATGGAAACTCTACAATTGGCAATAATTTCTGAGGCCCTTTTGTATCTCCCTCGGTGCCCGACTCGAAAGAGTTTACCAAAAATGGGTGCGTGCAAATCGTCTCGTGTACGAGTTCAAGTCGTAGTTGATACGTTGACTCTTCGCGGAGGCGTATTACGAAGCAGTATTATTTATGTCACGCATCATACTCCTAAACTTTATTACTAATAGATTTCTTGGTCGATGTGCAATGTTTCCGTCTGCCGATTATAAAGCATCACTTTAACCATCCTCCACTTGATCATACTACAATTTCTTAAAAAAGCGAAATCCATTGTTAACTTGCATGCAGATCCCATTGTATTAAAATATTTTCATTGTTCAGATTTCCGTGTACGGCGATCTACGAAATGCGGATAAAAAATTAATTCGCTAAACTCGGACGATAGCTATTGCTTGCTAGCGGCGAGCCACTTTGTCGACTGACAGCCCCAATGATAGCAAGCACAAAAAAACTATTCCTCAATTCTATGACTTTGAAAAGTGTCTTTTTAATTATTGCAGAAATTACTGTCTATCTTTTTCTTTTTTTTAATAACCTATCAGCGATTCGATCATCTGAACACATCCTAAACCGACTGTTCTACGTAATATGTGATCTCGGGGTCACATTTAATCTGATCTGCTTGATTTCCCAATCCGGAAAGAGTACAAACTGTGCCATCAAGTGTGCATCTTTTTCCTATATGTGTGCATATTTTCGGAATTTCCGAGATTACTGCGATCATTCTTGAAGAATATTACTCAGCCACAATGATACAAAGCTATGCGGAAATAAAATTCCGTCATCTGAAAAACTCAGAGAATTAATCTGGTGAAACAGACATTAATTATTGTGTATCGTTGATGTGCATCAACTATTTTTACTAGAACCTCGAGCTTATGTAGCGTGTGTACTCTTTGTACTCGCGCACATGATGACCATAATAGTATGAGATTCGTTTCACGTTTGGAAAGGTTTTTTTTTTTTATGGAGAAACGGTTATGCCGCCACTTCTTGTGACCTTTTTTTCGTTCTGAATGATATTAAAGCAAGGTGCACACGCAGTTCTGCAAAACATTGACACGGAAGATGAAGGTGATTTATTAATCGAATGTGCACTGCGTCAAAAATCTGTTTACGTTCTCGAACTCTTCAGAAAAAAAAAAAAAAAAAGATTCTATCATTTCGTTTGTTTTGTTGATGTCGATCTATTATTGGAAACAAGGAATCGGGCCGGATAGGAAATTTTTATTTACAAAATATTAAAGGGAATAAAGAAACCCTGCATATTATGTTTTTAATAACATGACTTGTAACTTATATGCAGTATGCTACAAATAAAAATCATTGGTATGTTTATATTATGCGTAATTTGGCGAACTAGGAATCTCAAAATTTGAATTGGTCTATGGTGACTTTAGAACCCTTGCGGATTCGCCATTCATTTACAGTGTTTACTTAATCACGAGAGAAATATTTATGAATCAAATGATTTAAATGCGGAAAATACTTCACATTAAATAGCAAATAAGCATTCCGTGTATGCTTTTACACCGTAGGGAAAATCATTGCCTTATAATAATCGATTCTGTGACACCGACGAATTTGATTTTTCTTTGGAATTAGATCCGACCGACTTCTCAATTCGACGCATAAACATCAATCATTTCTTTCCCTTCGTTGCTCATATAAAATAATGGTGGACGCAGTAATTCTCTTCAACAATTTTGAATAAAAAACGTTGTTGATATTAATCTAAAATTTAGATACAGGTAATTCAAAAAATAATGAAATAAAAACAAAGAATAATTTTTTTAAAGTTTAAAGGCAATTTTGGTTCAAGAAAATTAAAAACAATAATCAATATTATTGTGCAAAACTTCACATGTAAGTATAGAAAATTTTTGAAAATATTTGGTAAAGCAAAATATTATAAAAAATTAATTTTATACAAAAATCTATATGCATTATATATAATATATAATTTATTTTTAATGCACAGTCAAGTTAACATGTTTTGTCTTTATTATATAAATTTGGATAATATTTGCATATATTTTTAAGATTTTTATATGTCAACTCAATTTTTATAAAAGAAATAACTAAAAAATCTCTTTCTGCTGATCCTTCGAACATATAAAAAAGACGTTTATCAAAAGGTTTTGAACTTCCTGGTTAATAAAGTTTATTGCTATTTTTAAAACTAGTTAAAAGCATTTTCAAACTTTGTTACTATATTTTTATTATTGTTTACAAATCTCTTTCTTTAACCAAAAACTTGACTCCTAAATATTAAGAAAAAACAAATGTCATCTTTACTACTAATGACAAAAAAAGTTTCTAAGGAAAAAGAAACCAATTTAAAGTATTTAATTTTTTTTTTATTTTTAAATATTTATAGAAATTTATATAATAAAAAGACTTAATTTTTTCTTTGCAAACTATTTTGATTCTTTGGAAATTTTTACTTTTATAATTTTTTAATAAATTTTATCTACTTGAAATCATACTAAATTTTTGAGTAATATAATATTTATTAAAGGAATTGATCAATGTTAAATACTTTGATTTTTAAGATATAAACAAACTTTTATCAATCATACTCATATGTTTTAATAATATTATTGATAGTTAGAAAATATAATGTTTTAAAATATTTGTTCCTAATTAAATAAATTTTTAAAAAATAATTATAATACTAAAAAATAATCTATAAATAATACAAATAATTGGATTTTATTTCTTATTAAGTTTTTAATATGTAAAAAAAAATTATCAAACAAAAGTCAGGATTTCCAATCTTATATTCTAATTAAACAAAATTTAAAAAAAAAAAATTTTTTTTATAAATAAGTAAATTCTTCTTATAATACAGTTGCTTCCAAAAGTTTAAGTCCACTTAATATGTTTTTATTATAAATTTCAACATTGATAATTTTTAAATTCTTAACTATACAGTCAAAAATTATAAATTTTATATATATTATGTCTTAATACATATTCTATTTCTCATATTTTTTTAAAAAATTTCTTATTAATACATTTTAAAGTTTTATTATTACTAAATATCTTTATTTTTTTATTAATTATCATATGATTTACGATAACAGCCAATCAAAATTCTCCAAATATAAAAATTTAATAAAGAAAGAAATTTTTTAACAATAATAAAACTTTAA